TTTTCCTTTTTAATGAAAAGGGTTGTGTCAATATTACCTTTCGAGAATCCTGACTTTACCAGAAACTCTAATAAGATATCATACCAGGCTCTAGGAGCTTGTTTAAGACCATAAAGTGCTCGATCAAGGATGTAGACATGATCCAGCTTTGACTGATCAATAAAACCCTCCGGTTGTGAGACATAGACTTCCTTTTTGAGAAGTCCATATAAAAATGTTGTCTTGACATCCATCTGTACACCGTGAAGCTCTTGTGTGTCGCGTACGCCAAAAACATTCTTATTGCTTCAATCCTTGCAACCGGGGCAAACGTTTCGTCATAGTCAACGCCTTCTTGTTGATTATATCCTTTAGCAACAAGCCGAGCCTTATTTTTGACCACAACACCWTCTTCATCYTTTTTATTTTTGAATAMCCAWTTAGTACCGATAATCGTCTTATTGTTGGGACGAGGTACCAATCTCCAGACTTTGAGTGCTTCGAACTGGTTCAGCTCTTCTTGCATTGCTAATATCCAATCCGGATCTGCTAAGGCTTCAAAAACCTTAGTCAGCTCAATTTTACTCAAGAATGTGGAATACAGACACTCATTAGCAGTCGCGGACCATGTACAAATAGGTGCTGATGGATCACCAATTACTTGATGAATTGGATGATCTCGGGTCCACTTCTTGCTATGAGGTAAGGGAGTATAAGAACTTTGATCTGAATTTTGATCATTATAAGAACTTGGGGAGTTTATAGAAGCAGGTTCAGGTGAAGGTTCAATATTAGGAACTAGGATAGGTTGAATATCTGATTGAGGTGGATTATTATCAACTGGTTCAACCAACACCTCTTGCACTTCAGAAGTTCCACCCTCTTCACACTGAACGGGATTGTTCGGATTCTCCATTTCTATTTCTTCATCGACTTCTTCTGCTTCCTCTTCTGTTTCCTCCACTGTTTCAGTTACAGGCACATCAGGAGATGGACCCGATAACTGTTGTTCAGTTGAATTTTCCCTGATCAACACAATAGACTGATTAGGCATATTATCAAAATATTCTTCATAAAAGTGTTCAAACAAGAAATCTAAATCAACTTTATCAGAGTTAGAAGACTCAGGTTGATCAGCTTTCCGCGAAGTGTTAATTATAAGTCCGGGTTCTTAACTGAATTGTTCAGAAGCTACATCAATGACTTCATCAAAAGATACGTTCATGCTTTCATTGATGATTTTGGTCCGTTTATTGTAGACCCTGTATGCAGCGGATGTCTTCGAGTATCCAACAAAAACTGCTTCATCAGCTTTAGCAGCGAACTTCCCTTTGTCCTCTTTGTCATTTAAAATGAAGCATCTACAACCAAAAACTCGAAAGAAATGTATGTTAGGTATTCTTTTGTTTATTATTTCATACGGAGTTTTACCAAACCTTTTGTTTACAAGTGAACGGTTTTGGGTAAAACAAGCAGTCGCTACTGCTTCAGCCCATAAAAATAAAGGAAGACTGGAACATGTCAGCAATGTCCGTGCCGCTTCCACCAACGTTTTGTTCTTACGTTCAACAACACCATTCTGTTGTGGTGTCCGGGCTGCCGAAAATGTTTGTGAAATACCAATGGATTCGAGATATGAACCGAGTGTGTTGTTCTTGAATTCAGTTCCATTGTCTGTTMTGATTTTCTGAACTTGAAGTTGCAGATTATTTTGAACTGTCTTCAAGAAAGAAATAATTGTCTCGGCTGCTTCATCCTTAGACCTCAAAAAATGAACCCAGGTATATCTGGAATAGTCATCGACTATGACCAGCACATACTTTTTACCATTGATGCTTTGAATTCTCATAGGACCGGAAAGATCCATATGAAGAAGATGTAGAGGACGTTCGGTATTGAACTCTGTCTTTAGCTTATTTTCTTCAATTTACTCATTTCACATGCACCGCATACATGATCTTTTTGAAACTTCAGTTCTGTGATTCCTTTGACCAAGTTGTCACAAACCAACTTGTTTAGATTCTTGAAATTCAGGTGTGAAAGACGTCGATGCCATAATAAATTTTCTTTCAAAGAAGCCTTGGAGATTAAGCAGACATCAGTATCCACTTGTGTATTTGATAGGTCAATCGTGTAGAGATTTGATCTTCTGAATCCAGCTAAGAGCTCCTTACCGTCAGTAGTTCGGATGCTGCATTGGTTAGCTTTAAAACAGACTTCTAGATTTTTATCACAGAATTGACCTATGCTAAACAAATTATGTCCAAGTCCTTCGACAAACGACACTTTCTTAATTGTTAAATTCCTAGAAATTACGTCACCATATCCAAGGATAGGCGCGTATTGGTTGTTTCCAAATCTTACCGTACCTCCAAAAGATTCAACAAAGTTTGATAGTAACTCTTTTCTACCAGTCATGTGCTTAGAACATCCGTAGTCTAAGAACCACACATGCCGGTTAACCTGCAAAAATGAATCAATTGGGTTTTGGTACCCATTTTAGTTTAGGACCTTTAAGCAGAGATTTCATTGGCGGTATGCTATACGTACCGAACCAACGTTCTTTAAACATCAAACTTTTAGATAGAGAAGATATCACAGAATGCATGAAATGGTATGGTTTAAAAGAAGTAAAACACTTAAGTAATTCATTTACTCTACTCGGAGAACAACTATTTTTACTATTTCGAATATCAAATAATTCATCAACTGAATATCTTATTACAGAACTATTCAATGTCGAATCATTTAATACAAAATTACTTTGATTCTGCCATTGTTGATTTGATGAATATTTGGAGATTGATCATATTTGGGACTTATAATCTTCAAGGCAAGGATGCTTGGATTTGAGATTCAAAAGAGTGACTGAGAAGAGAGAACTACTCAGCTATTTATACCCGTTGTATTAAATGCAATTCAGAAGGTACAGAGCACGTGACAAGCCTTAAGAGGTAAGATTGTCCTTTGTTTCAGGTATAAAGTCTTTTGACCGTATATGTATAGTCTTCTTTTATAAAGTAGGTAAGCAGGCTTGGAGACAATAGAGTGACTTTGTACTGTACTGTACTTTAGAAAGGTATGAGTTTGTCCTTTATTTGTAAAAAGACAAGACAAAAACTAATCTTGTTCAACAAGATCCATTGGATCGCTGACACTGGAATGACGCTGGAGGTCTCTTCAGTGTTCATTGAATCTTGTGTATATTTCATACTTGTGTAGACGAGCTTGTTATCACTGAAAACCGCTTCAGATCACGAACTTGCTAGTCTCTATCTTCAGCTTATATCTTCGATATCGCTGAAGGATCTGTGGTGTGATTTTTGTCTTCTTGAAGGATACTTGTCTCTGAACAAATTACAATACATGTTCAGTGATCACTGAACAGACTCAATGATGATCGTTGAAACTGAATACAGAGATAGTGCACTTCGTAAGGTAAAAAGGGATCATCATCAAATCATCGATAAAGAGGACCAACAATAACTTCACCCTATCATACGAGTCAACAGCGGAGGTATGTTGGGTATATTGTTATATATTTTCTCATTACTTTCATTGCGAACAAATTACTGATTTTGTGGAATATTAATATTTATAGGTAACGAAGTTGAGAGAGAAGTTCGCAAGAGTAGAGGAGGAAACGGAGACCGAACGGAAGAGTAGAACATATTTGGAGGCCAGACAAGCTGTTGCATTAGCCGAACAGGCCACCTTATCGGCGCATTTTTCTGCGTTTATGTGGCAGTCAGGATACGTTTTTCTCCCTCCCCCACATCCCGGTAGTTAGAGTGTATGAATTTTAACATTAAATTGTATGAATTGGATATTTTAAATTATATGAATTAGATATTTTAAATTGTATGAATTGGTTAGTTTTAATTTGTTCACAATTTTGGTTTGTTATTTTATGACCAGGTTTTGTATAAAAAAAATACATGAATTATGTAATTATAAATTATTATTTTTCAAATTAATAAACATTAGCGACAGATTAGCGAGGGAAAATCCGTCGCTAAAAGTCCCTCCATGATCCTCGTTGATCTGTCACTTAAAGTTTCTATCATTGATCCGTCACTAAAAGTTTCCCTTGCTGACCTGTCACTGAAAGTTCCCCTCAATGATCTGTCGCTGATAGCATTACCTACGAAGTTTTGACCGACAGACTATCAATGACGGATCAGCGAGAGAACTTCATTTTTTAGGAACACCCTAGTAAGTATTCATCTGAACCATATGCACATGTGCATATAAGTAATTGAAGTTGTTATTTGGTTTTATGCACGTGCGCATGTCATACACGTGTATACTGCATAAATTGCTTATAAATTACTTATATGTACATGTGCATACGGTCCAGATGAACTGTTATTAGAATCCTTCTCAATTATATATATATATATATATATATATATATATATATAATTTCAACATTTTTATGTGAATTACTATGTTTCCTGTTAAAAAATAATTAGAGTATCTTTAAATAATATATGAAAAACAACAAAATTCTATTTCAAGGAAATCCTTAGATTGTTTATTTAACTATCAAACAAATTTATTTAAACATGTGTAAGAGGAAACATAGTTTTATTTTATCATATTTTAAAACTAAAATCAAAAACTTATATTCAATGCTCATAACACATACCAACAACTTCAACCATATGTTCAACCGATGCTAAATAGTAAAAGAAAGCAAACGTTGAAACTTTAGATTAGAAAAATTAGGATATAAATAAATAAGTATATATATATATATATATATATATATAAAAGAAGAATATAGTTAGATAAAACTAGAAGGGTATATTTGGAAGGAAAAGTATTGCATCATGCATGCACCTGCGGATAAAACCAGAGACAAAAGTGACGAGCCATCTTCCATAACTCTAGAAATACCCCACTAATTAAGGCAGAGCCGTCCCTGGGGGAGGGCGGCACGGGCGCACGCCCAGGACCCAAAAATATTAGAGGCTCAAATTTTTCCCTTACAAAATACGATAGTAGTCTAAAACAATTTAATGAAATAAAGAAACCTACAAAATTGTAACATATAATAAGAAGCAAAAAAATATTAGTACATAATAAGGGCCCAAAAATATTTCAACTAATTATATTGGAGTAGAAGATAAAAAAATTAATTTTTTTATCTTCAACAAGGTACAATGATATTGATTATTGTTATCTCTATATGCTTGGTTGTTTTCATGCTTCAACAATTCAACAGTAAGATCATGTGCTTGTTATTGCTATATATTTTTGTTGGATATTTTTATCAATTTTTGCTTCTATTGACTATTGTTATTTGGTTATGTTGTTCTAATTGTTTTTGTTGAGTATTGTTATATATTTTTATTTCTACACAAAATATTTTACTATTGTTTGACAATCAATCTATTGTTATTATAATTTATGATGTGTTTCATAGTTTTGTGATTAATCAATAATTTTTTCTACTAGATATATTTAATAATGTCTCTTATATATGTCATGTTCAATAAATTTTTAATCTTAACATCTTATTTTAGTTGAGCAAAAAAAGGAGAATAAAATTTAAATATTTTCATCAATTGTTTGACTTATATATCTTTCATTGGGATTCGACCGCACTACAAGATTCTATTTAAGTACTCAAAYAATCATTTGTTGAGCTTRYATATTATATGYTTAATTCATTATTTATTTTTATTAGATCTCAATGAATCATTTTTTCTTTCATATTCTTATTAATCCTTATTTGTCTACTTGTCTAGAAAACATTGATAATCTTCTTTATTATTGATCTCTCATTGACCCTCACGATTACTTCATTCACATGAATTCTCCTTTTTTTATTATCAAAATAACAAATATTTCTTGTTATAAACTAAAAAAAATCCTTACTTTTTTATAAAAAATTATCAACCATAGTTTTTATACTCTTGGTTTCAAATTACCTAATAAAAAATATTTAAATTTAAGTAACCACAAGGGTGGTGCCTGATTGGTTTGAGCTTGACTCCAAAGGTCAAAAGTGTCTGGAGGTCCCATGTTCAAATCCAAGAAGGAACAAAAATCCCCTTGTGGTCATGGAGGTTCAAATGCGGTGGGCCCTGTTTTTATGTTCGCCCAGGGCCCATAAAATGTCAGGAACGGGCCTGAATTAAGGTTGAAGCAGGCTTTCCTTTTCTTCTTTTCTGGGCGGAAAAACAGGTGAGCATGGCAGCCCCACCAACAAGTAGCCGGAGAGTAGATTCCCAGCACCAGCACCCGCACCCTTTTTGTTAAAGACTTATGATTTGGTGGAGGAGGGAGAAGAGAATAGGAGGAGGGTGGTGTCATGGAATGAGGTGGGGAACGGTTTCGTGGTGTGGTCTCCGTCGGAGCAGATGTTACCGCGCTACTTCAAGCACAATAATTTCTCCAGCTTCATTCGTCAACTCAACACCTATCACCTATGTATGTTAATTTCTCTTTCCATCTCTTCAATCCTCCATCAATTTGATTTTGGTTTTGCTTAATTGGTTCAATATGGTTTCCATTTGTGCTAATTAATCAAAGCTACCACGCTACCACTGAAATACATATTTGAAATTGATTTAACATTTTGTAACTTTAATTACAACATTTTTATTCCAAGTTAAATTACCTTTTCACCCTGCTAGTAACCAGGAGCTGACAAGTAAAGACATTTGATGTGGATAGACTTTGAAAATCAAATGTGGTAAATTCATGTTGACATATTAACTTTACCTACCAAAAAATATTAAAAAGAATGAAACAGTAAATATTATAGCAAAGTCCATTTTAATTTGGCCTAAACACTACAAATTTGACCACTTTATTTTGTGTTTTTGTATGTATACGTACATAATATTTTTGTTTACATCATGATTTTTATATGTTTATGTTGGTCTTTCTTTTTATTACAAAATATGTTTTATTATATTTCTATTTTCACAAATTTAATGGTAAAATTGGTTTTTTTTATTGATTATAAAATTTTGAATAAGCTTCGTGTAACTTTTATAAAATTACTGATAATTCTAGGTCCCTATGAAAATTGCGATCAATGTTTTTGGGAAAGAATTAATACACCCATTTTATTTCAATATAAATATAAAATTTTATTTCACATTATAATTAATGATAAATGTTTTGTTATAAATTACATATGGCGTAGTTAACATACACAATATAAAATTTTTATCTTTATAAGCTAAATATTTTATTTTCACAATTTCGTGAAAATTAATGATAGAATAAACATTATATGTATATAGATGTATGTGTGTATGTATATATTTTGAATGAGGGGATATTCTTTTTTGAGAACTTATGAAATTGTGATAATTTTAAGAACTTGTACATTATCTGTTCTTTTATATAAAAAAAATTTCTCTAAGACTAGAATTTAGAATATTGATTAATATATATTGTTTTACATGTACTCGGTTCACAATTTGAATCTTTTTGATGTGTTTGTGAAACAAAAGTTAGATGTTAAAAACTTTCACATTGTTAAACAAATACATATGAAACAAATATATTGTGAAACAAATATAAGTTAATCAATACGTTAAATACTATACTTAGATGGGGGAAAAATCATGTGAAACAAAAGCTTTCAAGTATAAGTTCTCATGAATGTTACAAATTTTAAAATTATCAAATGATTACGCCACTCTTGGATGAAACCTTATAAAATAATAAAAATAAGATTTGACTATAAGTTTGGTCCTTGTGGTTTGTCGAAAATAATATTTTTTTGTCCCTATAGTTTCAAAATTACAAAATAATAATCGAGGTTTGTAAAAACGTCTAGATTTGATCTCTCCCTCTAACGACCGTTAAAATTTTTCCTTGAATGATGGAAAAATGTCATTATCATTGATTTGTCTTTTACTCAATCAGAAACCATAAAAACCAAATTATAATTTATTTTGATTGAGTAAAAGACAAAAAAAATCTATATATAAACAAAATTCTCCTTTTTTATTGGAGTTTCTTTAACTGTTGTTAGAAGAAAGGAGTAAATCTAAACATTTTTATAAACCATAATTACTATCTTGTAATTTAGAAACCAACCACATAAACCATTTTATAGTTTACTCTTAATTAAAATGAGGTTAATATTATTATTTTAGTTTTAGTTTGACATCTTGCATGGTTGTTGAAAATTGACATATCCAAAGATTCTTGCCTTTGTGTCTTTTATATATTGGAATTTGACGATCTCAAATTTTTTTTTATACAACTGTGTGTGAAATTTACATTTTAATATTCCTAAAATATTGGTTTGGAGAAAAATTTCTTAGGGAAATTGTTTATGTTTTTAATAAAGGTTAGTTAAAGTTATGATGAAAAACGTAATAATAGATCTCTAATTAAATTGGATCAATTCTAATTTAATGTAACAGTAATGAGGCTTTTTAAAATACAATTTATAGATGAACATGAGATTAAAATATGATCAAGGTTCGAATCTTTTTTTAGATTTAACTCTTTCTTTCACATCATCTTTGGCCTCCTAAGTAGATATTTATTGAAAGTCATTTAACCAAAATGATCATGTGTAAAGATTAGTGCAACTGTCCAAAAGGAATTGATTTTTAACGATGAATGTAAAATTAGACTATTGTTAAACAAATCCTCGTTAATTGTTATTTTGATTTTTAAATTCCTGACTTCAGTCATTTTATTTCGTTTCACTGTTATATTTTGTTTTTGATTTTTAAATGTAAAAAGTAATTATGAAAACATATTTAAACACCCCCTAATTGGTACATTTATTTAACAAAATAACATAAATTATTAAAACAAAATTGGGTTTCAACGTCCTAATAAAATATTTTATAAAACTTAAGTTTACAGGATCAAACCATAAAAATAGGTTTATAGGATCATTTTAGGAGTTTTAACAAGTTTTTTACAACTTTTTATGAAAAAAAAATACCTATTAACTATTTTATAGGACATCAAATTTGACACCATATCACTTTATTGAAAACACTAAGCTTACACTAGATTTGGTGTAATATTATTCATTTACACCAATAAGAAAAGATAAAAAGTAATATAATTGGAATCTTATCTTTTGGTATCTATTGAAGTAGATTTATTGTTCACACCAAATGTTAGTGTAATTTTTAGTTCTTATGAATTTGATATAAGATTCGGTGTTACCATGGAAACATTAAAACAAAATTATGCAGTTTTTGATATGAAGATTTTATAATTTACAGGGGTTCAAGAAAACAAGTTCAAAAAGATGGGAATTTAAACATGAAAAGATTCAAAAGGGACATAAACACCTGTTGATGGAAATCATCAGAAAGAAGTGCGAAGCCAGTGGATTTCCAGCATGCTTAAAACCTGAAACACCATCATCAGCCTCATCCATTGAAGATCAAGAAAGTATGCTTTTACTCATGGAAGAAAACAAGAACTTGAAAAGAGAGACAATGGAACTGCAAATGGAGATACAACATATGAAATCATTGGAAATCAAGCTCACGGATTGTGTTTCTCAGTATATGGGGAGCACCACAAATCATCAATATCAATATCTAACACAAAGATGGTGATAAAATTAGGAGGTTGTGTTGATTGCAAGACTTATTTTTTTCTTTCGTTAAGTATGTTAATTAACGTTAAATCCTTTCTGTTTAGATCATTTCATTGGAGAATCCTTATGGAACGAAGAGAGAAGGGTTTTTCTCTCTAGGGTTTGCTTGGTGTTGAACGCATGAAGATGAAGATGATGATTTCGTTTATCCTTTGGTGAAGTATATGCATTTCTTCTCTTCACGTTCATTTTGCTTGGATTTTTCTTGGTTTGCAATTGTGTCTCCTCCCACGGCTGTTTTGTTCCACGGTTTAGAGTTCTTCGTTTTTCTCTTGGAGGCGGCTTCAAGGTCTTCTTCTTTGAGGTTGGTTTTCGTTGATCTCTTTGTTGGCAATACGGTTTTGAATCTTCTTGGCCGTGTAGTGTGTTGCTCACGGCTAGGGTTTTTTTCTAGGCTGTCGTTTTTGCTTGCTAGGGTTTGAGGCCGTGTTGTGTGTTGCTCACGGTTTTGGACTCTTCTTGGCCGTAGGTTACTTGTTGCTTACGGCTAGGGTTTGCGTCCTCCTTTTTGGGTCGTGGGTTTGTTCTCGGTTTGGTTTTCCTTTAGTCGCTCTTTGTCTTCTTGGTTTTGTGTCTTCCTCTTGTTTGTCGTCTTCTTCGTGGTTGCGTTCTCCTTTCTTTGGCCGTATTAGTTTGAAACGGCTAGGGTTTCCTCATTGCTTGCTAGGGAGTCTTTTCTTGGCAGGTTAGGGTTTCCTTTTTGCTCCCTTCTTGGTTTCCTTTTCTGGTACCATTCTTGGCCGTAGGTTTTGATAGGAGTTTGAGCCGTTTTGTTTCTTCTGTATTTCTTGGTATTTCGTTTTGAAGTGGTCCTTTGTTAGTTGTGGCTCCTTGTCGTTGTTTTCTTGTTTCGTCTTATCTAGATTTTTTCTTATTTCCTGTGTCGAGTGTTTCTGTGGTCTTCGTTGCCTTTATTGAGTTACTCAATTGGATATTCAGCACCTCCTTGTGGGGTCTTCGTTTATTTTAATTGAGAACACTCGTTAGGGGTTTCAGCACCACGGCTTCTTGACTAGGGATAAGGGGAACTAGGTTTTCTTGTAGTGTGGTATAATGGTTGACTTTGCGGATGCAATCTTGGAGGATCCTTCTCCTAAGGATTTTGCTGAGGTCATTTTTGGAGATTCGGTTTCTGATGACATGCATGGGAATCATGTGCATGGAGGTGATAATGAGGCGACGTTAAAGGGGAGTAAGGACAATTCTGGTCCCACTAAAAGGGTTTCGGTATGGGAGCGCATATCACTTGCAGTTTTGGGTGGGAGTGGTGTTGCTCTTCAAAAGTCGTTTGCTGAAATTGTTGGTGGCACTTCTAATCATGATTTGACATACTACCCGGTTGAGAAAAGTGTGAAACCGAGAATTGAATTTTCTTTGGAAACTACAAGGGACATGGCAAAATCCTTCCAGTCGGTTCTTTATGGATACTTTTTGAGACCTCGTCTTCCTTTCCCAATTGTTCTGCAAGCGGTTAAAAATGCATGGGGTAAGTTTGGGCTTATGGATGCAATGGTAAATGACCTTGGGTACTTCTTCTTTCGATTTAATGATAATGGTGGTTGCAATCAAGTGGTTGAGTCGTCCCCACTCATGATTCGTGGGAGGCCTCTTTTTGTCTCTATTTGGGACCCTTCAAAGGGACTTAAAAAGCCATAACATACCTCCTGTCCGTTATGGATTAAATTCTATAACATTCCTCTGGTTGCGTTTAACAGAGAGGGCATTAGTCGGATTGCTAGTGCAGTTGGAGTCCCTTTGCGGATGGATACCTGTACTGCTAGCACTTGTGATAAAGCTTGGGGTCGTACTAACTTTGCAAAAGTTTTGGTAGATGTCTGGGCCGTAGGTACTATTCAGAAGCAAATTGAAGTTGTCATTCCTAAGCTGTCGGGCGATGGTGAAGATGTGATAAAGGTGGTTTTGGAATATGACTGGGTGCCGTCTCAATGTTCGAAATGTAAGGTTTTTGGCCATAATATGAATTCCTGTCAGAAAGGGGGTACTCTTAAACAAAAGGATATTATCAAGCTGTTGCAAAATGATGGGTTTATAGAGAAAAAGAGTAAACAATGGAGACCGAGACAGAGTTCAGGACCTAGTAATGGTGCTTAGGCCTCTTCGTCAGGAGATCCTTCTAATTTGCATGACACATTGGTAGGAGTTGGTACTCTTAAGCCGATTTCTGATAAACCGTCTACTCTGGGTGTTACTCAAAAGGATAAGGAAGTCGTTCAGGTGGTTGATTCTGAGCCATCAATTGGGGAACGTAGGGATCACGATGAAAGTCAATATTGTACGGTGGATGCTGGGAGAACGCCAAGAGGAAGAGATGATGAAGCGAATGTGACATTTCGATCAAAGCGGGGTCCAGAACTTGTTAAAGGAGTGCTTAAAGCGATGAAACCAAGACGTGGTGCAGTTTCTAGTACGTCTACGAGTAATAGATTCTCCCCTCTACCTTCTGACTCCAGTGATGATTATATGGAAATAATAGACACTGAGGGGCACTCTTTGGAGTATAGTAAAGGGGCAAGATCCACTTCAACCTCTCAATGATAAAGATTGYTGCGTGGAATATTAGGGGTCTTAATTCCCTAATAAAGCAAAAGGAGGTACGTGATCTTATTTATTTAAAGCATCTGTCTTTATGTTGYATCATTGAGTCCAAAGTCATACATAGTCATTTGGGGGATGTCTATGGTAAAGTGTTTGGAAATTGGAGTTGGATCTCGAATGGGAGCTTGTGTGATCAAGGTACTCGTATTATTATTGCTTGGGATCCAACAGTGTTGTCAGTTCTTAAGATTGAGCAGCACCAACAATATGTCCACTGTGAGATTAGGATTTTTGGGCAACTTGATCCTATTTTTATTACCTTTGTTTATGGGTGTAATACGGGTGTGGATAGGCGTGAGCTTTGGCGGGCGTTTGGTGAATTCCATGTGTTTAATCAAAGGAAAGCTTGGGTCGCAATGGGTGATTTTAATTCAATGCTTTTTCCCCATGATGGTTTAGGGGGTTCCTCTAGGAGAAATTCGGACATGGAAGAGTTTTATCTCTGTCTGGAAGAGGCGGAATTGTTTGACATTTCGTATCAAGGATGCCAATTTACTTGGATACAGAAACCTTTGGGGGGTGATGGTATTATGCGAAAACTGGATCGAATCTTGGGAAATTCCGCTTTTATTACTAGATTTGGGGATGCTTCAGTCTTTTTTGATCCGAGGGGAATTTCTGATCACTCTCCGGGTATTCTTACTTTTAAAGTCGGTAGACGTCTTCGCCAGCGGGGTTTTAAGTTTGATAATTTTGTGACATCTCATATTGATTTCCTTGCTTCTGTGGAGGAGGTTTGGAAGAAACCGCAGAGAGGATCTTATATGAAGAGGGTCCTTCGGAAATTGCAAGCTCTGAAGGTGGTTTGTYGGYGTCTCCGRAATTCGTATGGTTGTTTGGATAAACGGGTARGCYAGTTAAAGACGGAGCTTGATGTCGCCCAATTAGCTTGTGATCTAGACCCTTTTAATGATATGCTCAAGGAGGACATGGCTCACCTCTTGTTAGCATATCAAAAAGCTAGAAGTGACCAAGTGGAAATGGCTCGTCAAAAAGCGAAGATCTCTTGGCTAAATGAAGGGGATGGAAACTCTAAATTCTTTTTTCATGTTATGAAAGAAAAGCGCAATCGGAGCCATATTGCCTCTATCAGGGATTCTTCTGGCACAGTTTATGATCATCAGGAGGTGCCCGCGGCATTCCTTTCCCATTTTCAAGGTATTCTTGGTACCTCTAATGTCTTGGTTCCTCCATCTATGGGGGATTGTGTGTTTGATCATTCTTTATCATTATCGGATTCTCTGCACTTAATCCGTCCTATCTCGGATATGGAGATAAAGGATGCTTTGTTTGCCATTGGGAATGATAAGGCTCCAGGACCTGATGGGTATTCTTCTAAATTCTTTAAAGCAGCTTGGAATGTGGTTGGTCGGGATGTTCTCATTGGGATACACAATTTCTTCTATTCAGGAACTTTGGAGTATCAGCTGAA